TAGTACGTATTATCAACTGGCATTTAAAATCCGATTAGAACAATTAGGTGCAAATCATTATTTGGTCGCAGACTCCTACAACACCCTTGGCAATGTGTGTTTTCAAAAGGATAATCTAAAAAGTGCTAGTGATTATTATCATCGCGCACTTGCAATTCAATTAAATCATTTCGGGCCAAACCATGTTGACGTTGCTAGGTCTTACACCAACCTTGGTAATCTTTACGGTGAACAAGGATATCTGGAACAAGCATGCGATTATCATCTGCAGGCTCTGAAAATTCGTTCAGATGTATTAGGAGAAAACCATACTGAAGTTGCTTCTTCTTACTACAACCTAGGCATTGTTTACAGAGAAAAAGGTGATTTGACATGTGCTAATGATTATGAGCAACGAGCTCTGGAAATTCGATTACAACAATTAGGAGCAAAGCATATTGACGTTGCGATGTCTTACCACGTCTTAGGTGTTCTGTGTGGAGATACAGGTGATCTGGAACGCGAGAGTGATTATCACCATCGAGCACTAAATATTCGAATGGAACAACTGGAACCAAACCACATTGACATTGCCCATTCTTGCAGCAACCTCGGTAATGTGTATGCTGATAAAGGTGATCTTGAACAAGCTAGTAAATATCATGGACGAGCGCTTGAAATTATGGTGGGAAAATTGGGCCCAAACCACATTGATGTGGCTACTTGTTACGACAACCTTGGTGAAGTGTGTAGGAAGCAAGGTGACCGGGAACATGCTGATGAATACTATCAAATGTCAAAGAAAATTCGATTGGAACATTTAGATCCAAACCAAGTAGACGTTGCGTCTTCTTACAACCGTCCTCGTACAGCCAGTGGAAGAAAAGGGTTTTTTGAACATGTCAGCAGCTATTCACAACGGGCTCTGCAAATTCAATTCGAACGATTTGGACCAATCGTAATCACATTGTACTTTCATTTAATAATCCGCGGTCTGTTTGTAATGATAAACTATCTTTGGAACCTACTAGGGAATATTTTTAACGGGCCTTAAACATTAATTTAGAGCAATTGGGACAAAACCGTTTTGATGTAGCTACTCGTTATAACATAATAGGTAAAGTGTTCGGCAGATTAAATTCGAAAAGAATTAGTTCTACAACGGCTAATGCATCCGATTCGTGGAAAGAGCAAATTATCTTACTATGATGTAAAAGTTGTAAATACACGTTCAGTACTCAAGAAATTAAATTTAGTAAAAAAGAACAGAGCAATTATTAGCAATCGTCAGCGGAATATATTTTCATAAAAGTTCGCTTCTCAATTAAATAATCTTGTAGCTATAGATCTAACTCGTTATAAAAAAATGCATTTAACTAGTATAGGGTAAAATTTTTAAACAAATTAAATTATATTCCCCTCCTAACTCCAGTTTTATAGCACATGTCATATACACTTCTGCTGCAAAAAGTAGTCAAGCACGTTCAGGGATTACACATAAATTATTGACTTCATTTAGTATGGTCAAAAATTTTGGTGGAAGAGAGATAGAACTCTCACCCTTCATAACCTTCATAATCTGTGTTTATCTTTTCTGATGTCGAAACAATAGCATGGCAAAAATAGCACTGCAGTCTTAAGCTAATTAATGATTCTGATAAAATTGCGGAATCGTTTGATTAACAATTTTCCCATATTGGACATAAATTTGCCGACAATATACGCTTTATAGTGAGAAGAACCGGACATACATCGACTATTTATCTTACAAAAATGATGTCTCTTTTCATCTAAAAGAAACTAACCTGTCAACAGTTTTCACGCTTTTATCAAACTTTAGTAGATCAAAAGCTACGGTTTTAGATAAAATTTCTTCTAGATTACTTCGAGAATGCCCAGATTTAATCGCGGAATCTCTTACTCTTATTTTCAATCGTTCTATTACAACAGGTATACTTTTCCCTAGCGAGTGGAAAAGTGCGAAAGTCGTTCCTATACACAAACAAGGAAAACGAAACTGTATTGATAACTATAGACCGTTTTCGATTGTATACCTGTCATTGCCAAGGTTTTTAAAAGGATAATATATGATCAATTGAAACTTTACCTACCTCAAAATAAATTGCTTACTAATTGCCAGTCAGGGTTTCGCGGTCTACAGTTCTTCTCGAGGCCACTAATCAATGGGCCTACAACATTGACCATAAAAATGTTAATGCTGTTATGTACGTTTCTTGACGTCAAAAAAGCTTTTGATACTGTAGATCATGAAATACTGCTATAGGTAAAGTTAATGCATACGGCATAGAAATGCTGGTAATTGGTTTAGATCTTAAGTACCTTAATGGGTGGGAACAAAAGTGTTTCGTGAATGGTCATCTTTCGACTAGCTGTTTGCTTCGTTGTGGAGTCCCGCAAGGCACTATATTTGGACCAATTTTGTTTCTAGTTTACATCAATGATCTACGCAATTGCCTTTCATATTCTCGGGCTCAGATGTTTGCTCTTGAAACCAAATTGACTTATGCAAGTATAATAATATTGATGACATTAGTATATAATCATTGTTTTAACGAAGACCTTGCTATAGTGTCAATGAAGGAATGCCTAAATTGTTTGTACTTCATGTAAAATGGTAAACAAACCTTTTCACCGGAAGCAGTCAAAGTGTATGCAATTGGTTGCTAAAAATGTAAACAAACTTGATGATTGGTCTAAAACGAAATTCCCACTTGTAGTAAAAATGTGAAAATATATTACGCGTATGAATATTGGACGGGAAGCGTGTTTCTGCACTGATTTTCGTCGTCATTTTGGACTATCTGGTGGTCATGCACGAAGTAGGGGAGAAACGGCCGGGGTATTCTCCCAAAGATCCACCGGAGATCCACAAGACCCACGCTATTTAGAACACAATATGAGTTTAAGATTCATGAAATCTACGACGCGGATGTGAAATAATACTGCTCTAATTTCCATTGTCAATCACGCACGCGATTACATTACAAAAATCTCCGCATCGGCTGGAATTTCAGCCCGGTTTGAGTTACCCGGGCTGAAACTTAGTGTTGTTGTCATGTAATCGTAAATAAACTTAAACCCGGACAGAAAAATTCGCCTTTACAATGCTTTTTCGTTTGTTTTAATATTTCATTTTTATGTGCAGTCATAGTCCCTTAAAGATCAAGTTATTGTCATATATCAGCAATCGTCATGCAATCGTTACGAAGTTAGTCCGACTTTCCACACGATCAGTTTAAGTTTAGCTTTTAGGGGCTGTTTACATGAGCCCGGTTACTTGAGATTCAATGAAGCGTGAGAGGACTATGTGGTATTGAAATAAGTCTAGACACCAAACAAGCACATGCTAGTGTTGTGGTGATTATACGACTCCCAGGATCAAATTATCTGCTCATTTCAATACCAATAAAATCATCTTACGCTTCGTTGAATCTCGGGTAACCGGGCTCATGTAAACAACCCCTATACAGGGTGTCCCAAAAAAGTCCCCGCTATTGAAATGAAGCTTTTGTTGGAATTTGAATGCATGATCAACGCAGTAGTGTGTAAATAGCATATTTATTAGGTTGAGGCATTCAAATAAAGCGTCTTGCTTTCAATTGGGTTTATCATAATATTAAGGCAATCAGATTCGAACAAAGGCTTGATTTCAATAGAGGGGACATTTTTTTGGGACCCTGTACAGGGTGAGTAAAAAAAACGACACCTTTGAAATTCAAATTAGTCGCATAGCGGCTGTAATGTGGCAGAAGTTGCTTAAAATATTTCATAGGTATACAAAGCATATCATATTAATTAACCTAAAACATTAAGTTTGTTTCCATTGGGAGTTAAAATGCATTCTAAGCTCTGTAAATACAAAAGAACAGTTTTATCAAATCGTTTTTGTTGATTGTACATGGGAATTGTCATATTCCAGCCATACGTTTGCAGCTAATTTGAATTTCAAAGGTGTCAGGTTTTTTTGACTCACCCTGTATAAGATTTAACCTTTAGATAGTAATTAACCTTTGGAATTCACGCGTGGAATTCATACGTGCATGCGATTAATATCTCTATGTATAGAATAAAACACATACAACCTTTTACATTTGACATAGGCCTAAAGAGCTGATTACATGAGCTCGTTTACCTGAGATTCAACGAAGCGTGCATGAGATGATTTTGAGGTATTAAAATGAGCAGATAACATGATCCTGGCAGTCGTATAATCACCACAATAATAGCATGTGCTTGTTTTGTGTCATAAATACTTATTTCAATATCTCAAAGTCCTCTCACGCTTCGTTGAATTTCGGGTAACCGGGCTCATGTAAACAGCCCCTAAGTCAGTAATAGTAATTGACCATTACTAAAATAACGTCTCCTGTCAGATAATATTCTATCTTGCGTTCACAGACGTTTAAAATACCTTTCTTTATTTTAAAAATACATATTTTTGCATGTGCTTTTTTCAAGTGGAAGCATTGGTTGTGCTTTTTTTCAAGTGGAAGGACCATTCTAATTTCTAAGGGAAGGAAATGTTTACAAAAAATATCTACACGATTTGTACATTCAACGATAGTTAATTCAAACATTTCCATTACATAGCGTAATCTCAAAGTGAGACATGACAAGGGGACATATTTACCGCGGGTTTTTTGTGATCTTGGTTATCATAACATGCGCAGGTTCCATATTGAACGAGCGCGTCGAACAGCAAGTTTGTTTAGCTGATAACGCTGCTCTTGGTACTGAAATAAATTTTGATCATCTTGAAGAAAACTCGGCTTCTTATGACGCAATCTTCAACAGAATCCAAAGTTTGCTTGTCGCGAATGGTGTGGTCGTGGTTCGAAATCAGACGATGAACAAAGTAGCTCGCAGCGGCGTAGCCAGAACGATAATTGGGGGGGTCCATATTCATATATTCGTGATACGCAGGATTAATTTCTTTTCAAATCAATTGTCTTTACAGTCTGTTTACATGAATATATGAATATGGACTCCCCCAATTATCGATGCTGGCTACGCCAGTGGTAGCTCGATATAATTTCACACGGAATTTGGGCTCTGTGGTTATACTTCCGGAATCCTTCGCGGGAAATGATCCGGAACCAGGGCTTCCGGCTGTTCAGAGGGTCACCAACTATTTCCACAACGGGACATGGAAAAACAGACGCCGTTGCGTTGGATGTTATTGGCACAAGGAGGGGAATTTTCACTTCGACGATTACATTGGTGGTGTTCTCTATGCCGAAAAGGTGGCAAAATCAGCATCAACAACAATGTTTCTGGATAATTGTGCTGCCTACGACCTCATTCCCCCAGACCTAAGAGCACGGATCCAGGACACAGTATTTTCGGTGTCGGTACGAGATATCCCAGACTTTAAGAATGGCACAGAAAAAGATTTTGCCCTTTTTCCAGACGCAGCTCGACATCCCATATTCTACAATCACCCAGGCTCCGGGCGTCGTTGTTTGTATCTGACCAACACAATGGTGACGCTGCGACCCAAGAGTGTAAACGAGATGACAGATCTTCAAAAGGCATGGAATATCATGATCACTCAGGCACCCAAATATCAGCACTACTGGACAGCAGGAGATGTCGTCATTTGGGATAATTTGGCGGTTATGCACAAAGCTGGGGAGAAACGGACTGGGTATTCTCCAAAAGATCCACGAATGCTTTTCAGAACGCAATATCGTATCGGTAAAACTGCTGGGAAAAGATAACTTGGAAGATGTAATTCACCATTAACATTTAATAAATTTTGCCAAAAAGAAGCAGAATATAACATGTTGTTTAAAAGAGTGGGTAAAAATTTGCACTGTTTAGATTTATAGTATAACAAATATAGTAGACGTGTGCTGGTTGTTCTAGAAGCGGTTAAGGACCTTAGTTGTGAACAGTAACACAGAAATTTTGCGCCTCAGGAGTTTAGATTTTAAAACATAAACAAAAAATAATTAGTAGTGATTTTTTTACTAGAAAAATGAAAGAAGCGGTTCCCGTGTTTAAATAATGCAGAACTATTTTATTTGGCCAATCTCCATTACATCGTTCGATGTAATAAATAATGTTGTGAGAATTTCTAAATAAATGGAATTAAAAAATTGTATAAAATCTTTTCTTGATATATAAATATATATTTTTAAAAGCAATAGGAAACTTTTTTCCTTTCTTTCCATGCATGCAGTTATAAAAACACTTATTATATGGCTGGGGCAAATGCCGCGCGCTGATTGGCCAGGAAAAACCTTGTTGTAAAAGTGAGCAATTCTAAGTAAACGATATTCGATTTTGGAAAAGGTGTTAATGGAACTCCATTATCTATCGGCATATCACAACCGCTGCATGTATATGGGGACACCTTGTGTGCCGGTGGCCTCATGCATGCATGTGATCCTCTCTTTGTTTATATTAGTAGGGCTATTAATAGCCCAGTACGCATTTGATAAACTATAAAAACAAAATATCGAATTATTTAGTTTACCTTAACTCTCTGGGGACGTCTTTTTTAATTTCAAACTGCAATTTGTTTTCTCTTGAACATTCATTTGTGCATTTTATTTTCAGAATTTCTCTGTTTTTCAACTCGTAATGGATCGCTGGTCCATTACGGGAAAGTGCCAGAGCAATACGGGAAAGTAATGGACCGCTGAAAGTTCTTCTCAGCCAATCATTGGGCTCCATTTTACCGGAAGTGACGCTTGCCGTATAATAAAACATTTTAATATTTTACTTTTCAAAGACCAGTCTATTCGGCGCGATTAAAATGCGATGTATAACCGGCGTAACCTAGGCGTAAAATTGCCGTATAACCCAGGCGAAAAAGCCCCAGGGAGCTTGTCCTGCCAACCCGTGAATAGATCATTAAAACAGCCTCTTCGCAAAGTTTTTGTGATCCAATTCTTGGTATTTTACACGTTAACTACTAATTTGGAAATATTCGATTGAAAGTGATTGATTATAAGACGAATCCTCAAAACATTATTATTACATACCTTTGACATTTTAATTGCCTCAATAGCAACTCGATGTAGACGGATATCCTCCTTATTTGCAATAATTGTGAAGAAACAATGGACAGTGTGCTATCGCATGAATGATATCCTCGGCATCCAGCTCTTCTTTTTTGCTGCTGAATGTATTTCACAACAGGATTGGGTTGTAGTGGTTCAAATGATATTTTAAAAAGAGAAAAATTTGAATGCGATTCCAAAAAATTTCGTCACTTTCTTCACATTTTTCAACAGCTAAAAGCACAGATGTGAGCATGGTGGTTGATGCTGCGTCTGATCATGTCATGTCTGCATCCTTGATTTGGTGCTTCTTAAATTCTCTATTAGCTACAATAAAGAAACCCGCTACTGGGAAAAGACGATAAATACCCCAGTTCTCGTAAACATTGGTGTTAGTCCCGGAAGGCCTGACGTAAAGCTTTATATTTAACACGAGCAATTTCGTTTAGTTATCTGAGTATGAGATATTTGCAAATCAATCTTATTACGCGTTTTGGAAGATTTGCAAAATTTGCTGAAATTAGCCCATTAAACACTCGTACTGCTGCGCTCTGTTTCTTACCTTTTTTAAGCTCTTCGAATGATAAGCTCGTGCGACCCAGTCCATACTTTCACACAGTCACTACTGTCACTCAGTGTGATTAAATCGTGTTTCGGATGCGAATTTTTAGTTTTTGCGGGTTTTTTAAGAACAATTTTCTTCCAAAGGAAAAAGCTAGCATTTGAATTAATTTCAGTGCTACCTGTCCCATAAGACTAGAAATTCATTGGGTTTGCTAAACGTTTTCGCTAATCTCGCGCGCATTTCACTTTAGGGTACTTTTTTTTAAACACCCTTTATATTATTATACAGGGTACCCGAAAGACCGCAAGCATGCCCTAATTAGTCTTTGTCAATGTGAAAGATGACTTCAGATAAATCTCTGTTCTGCTGCAGATTACTGATGTACTATAGAGAAATTTCAATTTAATTTTAATGAGATAGACCTAAAATTAAACAATACACAGTGTGCTTTTACGCAAGAAAAATCTACGGTTACAGCACATGCAAACCAGAACCTCGGTTTGATCACGGTTGAACCGAGGTCGAAATGCGGTGAGACGGAGGTTAAACCTCGGCCTAACTCGGTCTGACAGACATTTCTTAAGATTTTTTCGATTTGGTTATTGTCTTATCGTTCTCAGCTGTTAATAACATTTCGTTCGGAAGCGAACGCCACTGCGAAAGTATTTTTTCCCCTTGCGCTCGTTTCTATCGGTCGACTGCAGCCGAACCGCGACCGAACCGCAACCGCAGTGTTAAGTTATTTCTGGACAGGACTGTAAAACAGAGAATGATGAAGCTAACGCCGCTTTTGCGAATTTTTGAAAAGCTTATGATCTTGTTGATCATGCAATATGATTGGACAAGTTTGCTGTTATGGGGGTTAATAAAAGTTTTTGGCTATGGATAAATTGAAGAGTTATCTCACAGAACTTTACCAGTAAAACTCCCTGTTGTGTTATCTCATCTGCAATCAGCCAAATATCAGTTGGTGTGCCCAGGATGGCGTTTGATTCCAACACGACAACACAAACAGACAGACAATTTAAAAAAGCTTATAATTGAAAACCTCTTACAGTGGTAAAAAGATAATCAATTTTACCTTGCATGTTTAGATTTTTGTTACTAGCATTGATAAAATTACTGGATTCTGATTGGTCTGATTCATTAATTATACTACAGTAAAATTTTCATCATATAATTTATCCCCGATTGAAATCGTTGAAATGGCAAAAAGTATAGGGAAGATGTTTTCCATTGAATACTTACTAGGCATGTGGCCTTCTCTTTGTTTATATTAGTAGGGCTATTAGTAGCCCGGTACGCATTTGATGAAAATATAAACAAAGTATATAATTATTTAGTTCACCTTAACTGTCTGGGGACGTCTTTTTTAATTTCATAGATATATAGATTACATGGTGATTACATTTATATAATACACTGGCGGTCAAAAGAAACTGCTCAAATGTTGCTATTATCGTATGTAACAGGAATCGTGACAATCAATATTTTATTGCACACTAGCGGTCAAAAAGAACTGTTTAGATACAAATTCATAAAAAAGAAGCGAACATAGGAGAGAGCTTCATAGGCATTTTGTATAATTCTCTTATTCCAGGCAATATTTCAATAATGTAATGCAACCTGCCACACTTCCAAGATATAGTCAAACAATGGTTCCAGGAAGAGGGGGTGACAGAAATGGATTGGCCTGCGCAGTCAAAAGATCTTTACCCTATTGAAAATCTATGGGACAATGTCAAGGGGATAGTGCAAGAAAGGAATTAATTCATAAAGCGTCCATGATTTATGGGTTGCTGTAAAGACTGTCCATAGGATGAATTTCTTTTGACCGCTCAAGATTACCACCTTAACAGAAAGTATGCCACGCCGGTGTAAGGCCGTCATCAATTATGGCCTCCAAGGCCAAAGGAGGGTCAACAAAATATTAATATTTCATATAGCTTAGCATGTAATATAGTCTATATTTACTCGTATGTATTGTTAGAGGGACAGTTTCGTTCATTTGAGAACATTTTAACTTGTTTTGAGCAGTTCTTTTTGAACGCCAGTGTATATAGCATGCGTTACATTTATATAGTATATATAGACTAAGTTTTTACACTAAAAGTAAGCACTAAATGTGTACACATTCTAAGACAAAAAATCATTTAGGGCTCCTGATGGTAATTAAGACTACAAGCTACTAAAAAAGAATTTTTAAAACGGTCAGTTTTAAAAACTGGAACACTATAATTTTCGTCATTGGGACTTAAATTTTCGCATAAGTGTTAACCTCGGTACATGGAAGCCCCAGGGAGTCACCTTACAATATTTCCTCCAAGGAAAGGTATATTAATCGCCAGTCGTCTTAAAATTCGCTAAAATTCTGTGGCAGTAAATACAACGTTTTAATGTTTTACTTTAAATTGTTTAAACCTTGATTTGAAAGCATTCCCTAACTACTCATCGTCCTTCATAGCCAGGAATTTAAGACCGTAAGCCCAGTGCACGATGTTATTGTTTAAACAGAGATAGCTGCGACAGCCAGCTTTTAAAATACAAGAGTTATTCATACATTAATTTTGCAAAATACAATCCCAATAGTGTATTAAAAGCATCCGCTGTGTTCACAGTATCTTTCCTAGGGCTCGTTCCTTGTATTTACCTATTTTTTTCGTCAACTCATGCTTTTGTCAAACCGATTACATTTTGTGTTGAAAAACAAGGAGATTTTTAACCCGCGCTTGTAACAATTGAAGAAAACGTTTATCTTCAATCACATTTTCACCAAACGAAATCCAATTTTCAAAAACATATACTATCGTAAGTTATCGCCATGTTTGGTATAAAAAAAGCTTGGAGCTAGACCATTGTTAGAATTTATGCAAACTATCGCTGCCCTCCCAATAGCTAGTGCAAGCAAGGGCTCAATGCCTAAAATTTCTGGCCATGGAGCGCATCACACATATTTCGTTTCACCCCATTGCAGAAATTAAGTTTGCCGGCTTTAGAACTTTTTCCTTACACGTACATTATGTTATGTCGACAGGCTCCATGCAAAAAACTGGCTGTAAAAAAATCCGGAAATACTCGTGGTAATTAAAGGACGTTTTAGATTTTGCATGCATGTATATCAAGTTAATGCATGTAAGTATATAACTGTCACAATAAAGTTGCTAAATTTTGCACTACTTTACATTACATTGACATCATCTTTTTTATAAACTGCTTCTTTCTGCGGGGGTCTAAACCCGACATATGAAGACGTCCAAAGGCACACCAATTCGAATCTTTCTCTACTTCGATTTCATGAACACCGTCATATAAAGTACCGTCCACTCGTATTTTAAGGTAAACAATTCGTTCCAGCTCACCGTTTATATCGCTAAATGAGTTGACGAATAATTTTGCAATTTTCGGATCGAGTGGAACGCTAATAATATCCGAGCCGGTGTCGAGTTTAGCTTCCCCTTTAAATATAACTTCATTCGTAAGCGGATCTATTAGCTCAATATCGACACCTGGCAGTGTCGCAGTCGTCAAACGCGCCTTCTGGGCAGCATTTCTTTTGTTCCGCAAATCGAATATGCCGCAAAATAATATCTGTTTCTTTTGCAGCATGACAACCGCTTGCTGCTTATCGTGAATTAAATCATACCTCAAGCACTTCTTCTCATCACGGTAGACAATAACGTGGTTTAAAGCTTCTTTATCCGGATGTTTTTTAAACTTTTCGAATATTTCTTTTTCATTTTCCTCGCAAAAGCCTTTGAGTGTTTGGTATGTCTTCTTATCTTCTGCGTCAGGGTTAGCTTTCCTCTGTAGAAAATATACATAATCGCATTATTTATCATATTTCCCGTATAGGTAAGCTCTATACTTAATATAGCATTAGTGGTACAGGGTTAATAAGTAAAGTGCACAATTTCAGCTTGTATATAAAGCTAAAAATAACTTTTCTCATTGTTTTAGGGGAAAACTTTGTCGAAGATTGTCCACAATTGTCTTGGCGACTATCTCTGCTGGGGGTAAACCCCTCCCCCCCGCTCTTTTAAACACGAAAAAATATTCTAAGCTAGTAAAATAGTAAGCAGGTGCCTTGATTGAAAGCTGGATAGCGCTATCTAACGGATAGTGATTTTTTCAACTGCTTTAAGCATGCCTGAAAAGCAAAAGATCCCCCAACTTAAAAATATCAAGGATTAATCTAAGTCATGCCGAACAGCTGGAAATTTTAGAGCGATTAAAAAAACACTATTCGGTGGATAGCGCTATCCGACTTTCGTACAATCGGCCCCTGCGATATGTTCAAATTCAACTATAAATGTGCTACAAATAGTTTTAAAGGAGTTATTTGCCGTAGCGAATAATAAATTTATTGCTTGCGTGTATTATTCTTAGTTTATTTGTAGTTTGTAGATAACGTTATAGCTATATATGGTAGCGCACGCGTAGAGCAATGGAGGGAAACTCTTTTGTAAACTGGCCTATCTATAGATTTGAGTACAGGGAAACTTTGTTACGTTTTGGAAAACGTGCTCTCCTGATTTATTCCTAGCGGAATGAGAAAGTTCAAGGCTATTCGCACTTTGCTACAGTTAAGTGATATTCCCCTCACGTGCATGGAGCATGTTTCACGTGCACAGTCAGCATACCTATATAAAGAGATCCGAAAGGTTCAAGGTCATTCTATATTTGTTTTTGTCGAAGCAAATTCGGAAGTTTTCACCCGACCCTCCCTCCCTTTCTCTAGGTTGTGAGCTACGATAATTTCTATGTAATTATGATGGTGTGGGCGTTTTTTATCACCCCACCTTTTCTGTGCTGTACTAAAATACGAACATTGTAACAATTAGCTATAATTTGTTACTTTTGGTTGAATTAAATCGGCATGTGCTCCGGCACATTGCCATTATTTTATCCAAAAAGTGTCATTGTTTATTGCAGTTGCATGCCTTTAATTTGCCCAGAAAACAGAGCTCACCAGTCTCGGAAACCGCCGGCACTTCCTATAGGGTTCGTAGTTAAAACGGAAGCGATAAATACTTCAACTGTTTAGCGAAAGTTTGCCTGGGTTTTTTGAGCTAGATTAACATCAAAACTCAGTTTGAAATAGATAATCTTTTCCCAATTCAAATTAATTTCAGCTAAATAAATTTAAACCAATAGGCAATACAAAAATGGTTACCGTAAAATGGTAAATGGTTTTATAAAATATTTAAAAATACAATTTCAAAATTTCAAAATCGTAGTAAAATGACGCGCTTGAAATTTTAAATTTAACCAATCGCACGCTTGCGACGTTTGCTAGTTACCAGTTTCGACCAGTGAACTCAGATTTTAACTGGCAATACGTTGTAAACTCACGCATGCGCACAACTGACAAAGGCGCCTATAATGTTTATTTCTTTATTATTCAATTCAAATTATGCCCAAATTGAAAAGCCCAAATTAAATGCCCAAATTAAAAAGAAGTTCTGTTAATTCCGTTTTGTCGAGGATTTGGCCTCTGATTGGTTGATTTTTGGCTTCTGATAGGCAGACAGACAGACTGACAGACAGATCATGAAAACTTTTCTTACCTTTGACACTTTAATTGCCTCAATGGCAACTCGATGTAGACGGATATCCTCCTCTTTATTAACAACATGAAGAAACAATGGGCAGTGTTTTATCGTACGAATGATATCCTTGGTATCCAGCTCTTTTTTATGCTGCCGAATGTATTTCACAACAAGATTGAGTGGTAGTGGTTCAAACGATATCAAAGAGAACAATTTGAATGCGTTTCGAAAAATTTCGCAACATTTTTTAGAGATCTTGTTATTTTCTTCATATTTTTCAACAGCTAAAAGCACAGATGTGAGCATGGTGAATGATGTTGCTGAATTTATCTCCATTTTGATTAATTCGCTTGTATCATTTTCGAAAATGCGTAAATAATCTCGCCACGAAAGTTTTGGACTACTCTGTTTCATGTATTCTGCTGCCGCTACCATTGCCAGTGGCTGACGATCTAATTTTTCTGCCACCTCGCCTAGCAATGGATCATTCGCATCTGTTTTTGATAACTGGGCAAGAAGCTGGCAACACTCTTTGTCATTCATACTGGGACTAAGTGAAAGATGCTTAGTGGAGATGCTGTCCGGTGGGACTTCATTTGTAACTTGTGTTGTTACCAAAATTTGACCGTTATTCCAAACTTCGTCGTCCGTCTGGGGAAGAAGTGAGGAAATGAGCTCTAAACTTTCTACATTGACCACGATAATCCACCATTTAATCCAATTACGAATTCTGCGATATACTTTCGATCTTAAAACTTTGATTTTCTCTTCTGTTGTCTTAGATGAGCCAAATACAAGTTCCAAAGCCTTTTCTTTGCTACCCAGGTGATGACAGAACTTTTTATACGAATACAGTAGAGAATCTAAATCTCTTCCGTCCAATGTCATTACAAACATTGCTTTCGCTTCCCAATCAGCACGTATGAAAATATTCTCAAACACTTGTCTGACGATTTGAGACTTTCCAGAACTTCCAGACAAATAAAAATAGGTAAGTCTATTGAAATTATCGCTGCGCAACTTTTCAAGATATTCTGTGATTTCTTGTATCTCGTCAGAACGGTAAATGACTTTATGAGTTGGTTTAGGCGGTAGAACGTTGAACGAATCATAAACGAAACCGAAATAGTGGTTATTTATGCGAACGGATTCACGGTTTGACATTCCTAATATAGTCAATGCAGCTAAAGCTTTTTTTTTCAAACCGTTGAAGACTTTAGTTGTGATATTTAATCCAGGATGATGAGCTAAAAAATTTCGCATTTGTCTCAGATCAAGGACTGCCTTCCTAATTTTTGGATTAAGACCTGCACCAATCGCATTGGTCTCGACAATTGCGTCCATTAGTGCGGTACAATCCCATTGCTTTGTATCTCCACGTCTATATGCGATACCGGGTGCATTTCCTGAATATTCCATAGAATAGAACATACGACCACTTACAGGAGTGTCGTCCCACGCTCCTGGTTGATCCCGGTAACGAGTGTTCCATTCCCGGATGAATACTTTTCTCAATTGATTTCTTGCAACATCGAAGATTAGATTATACATATAAAAAAAATTTCGCCTTTCCTCGCTTTTCCATAACGGAGCTGACATTCTTGTCTCTAAAAATTTTAAATGAAAATACTCATTAGGAGAAAAATAGATAAAGGACATCGGACAATCTTGGGTTTATTTAAAACACCTTTCCGAAAATAAATACGAACAACTACACCGCATGATGCCGTTTTGGCATCATGGGAGTTAGTTTCAATTTCTCTTCACCTACACGGTAATGGGATCTAAGACTAAAACACGTACAAACAACACTTGATATTAATTGAAACCCCTCAAAAATTCTTAAACAATATTTAGCAGGAGTCCTTGGGCCTTCGTTCTCGGACCGTTTTTATGACCGTTTTCTTTAAATCGTTTTGGTGTAAAGCAGATGCTTTCAAATCGTTTTAAATGTCCTAAGCATTTTTTGGACAGAATAAATAAACCTCAATATGTCTTTCAGTGTAAAAAACGCCAGGCTCCTAGCTACCTTGACGTATATTTAAAAATTTAATTGTACACGGAAATGGTGAATTTCGATACAAAGTCATGCAGCCTTGTGACTTCAAACCAACCTATTCAAACCAACAAAGCATACCCGATCCTAAATTATTGTCCGCTGCGATTTTGGTTTCGCCAATAATATCAAATATCATCTTTAAATACCGAAATTTTTGAGATTTTAGGGCTCGTTTTCCATATCTAAAGCACGAGAATTACGTACAGGACTTAAAATGAAATCAACAAATGGTAGAAAAATGTGGAAAATTGAAAATTCGTAACTAAACAAAGTTTTTTTAAAAAAATTATAAACAGGGAGTACATGTTGGAGCGGGCTCAATATTTAGCAGTGATCATTACCATAGCCAATTGAAACCCTTGAAACTCTCAACCACTCTTTCAATGTTGCTTTTTTGGTACAAATATTATCGGCGAAGAAATCCAAGCCACTTGTACCGGAAAATGCATTTCGGCGAACAACATTTAACTAGGGATCCAAGGATAGTGGAATGTTTTCATGCCCTGTAATACCTAAGCAACCGGCAGACGTTTGTCCCAACATAAACATTTTGACTTATGCCAGTAAAAATATAATGAACTAGGTTAAACATTAATCAAAAGGAAATTACTCAAAGTACTCAAGTTACGTTAGTTGCGGATACGGTCACTAATAAATTATAATTTTAGTTGCCCATGTAAACCAGGCGCGATTTTCTCAGTTTAGTCTCTTTTCTTCGTCAAGCAACTGTGACTACATTTACTACATTTATATGCACTAAAAAGGGGGAATGGGGGGTGTTAAAAAGGGGGAATGGGGGGGGGTGATTTCACCTTTTCAGTATCGGAGTTTGTAGTGAATTGAAATAAATCGAATAATGAATAATAAATGTCAATAGGTTACAGTAGGAAGAGCGCGAGGGTCTCGTTAAATCAGAAGACGATATATCCTACATCATTTAAACAATAAGTTATCAATGAGCTAGCCGTCTACCTTTGTCTACATTAAAAATATTTAAAGCAAAAACTTCGCGATTGGACTTTTTCAAAAAAAATGAGTAATTTAGGTTTTGGTAAACTAACCTTTCCGGTATTTCAAATAGATGTAAAGGGACAACAAAAGGGTAAAAATACCACCAAGCAACAACAGAGAACTGAAGAGGGCCATTGAAGCGAAACACAATTGACATCTGAAATAGCATTAAATTTTGGAATGTCCAGTTAATTAAAGAAATGAAGGTACTTTTAAAAGGTTTATTGCAAAATTCTATTGCTCATCTTACTCACCTTAATGTTAGCTGCAGATATTTTCACGAATACCGGCTAAAAGGCTAAGACAGCATATAAAATTATTGGTTAAGAGTAATACAGTTACTTCCTTCATTTTATTGCGATACAATAAACGAATTTCCCAAAATAAACATAATGGCGAAATGGTACCGATGCATGCAAACAAGACAACCCTGAATAGGCACGGCCAGCCCACCCGGGGAGGGGGGGGGAGGGTTGGGCTTGTCGGATTTCGCATAACAACGAATTACGACATGTGAATTAATCAACACAAATTACGCTATATGAAAATATATTCACATGACAAAATTCGTCATAATTCGTCGTAATTTACATGACGTAATTATAGTGGTAAATGTAGCATTTTGTTGTAATTCAGCATAGACAAGCCAGAAGACACTTCTGTCTTATGGATTGTCTATGAATTCAGTAATGTCGGATTTCGTCTAACGGGTTACAACATGTGAATGGATTTTATGCGCTATAGATCAACTTTTTTTCCAGGCAAAATAAAGGAAATTTTTAAAAAGAGCAGATTAAAATTAGTCAATAATTACCAAGTTTGGCTGCGAAATGTTGTAAAGCGAGGAAATATAGCTTAGCGAATTTGATTTTTTTATATTTTTGTATTGCGTGTGGAAATATGTGACTAAATTAGTTACACATTTCCCCATGCAATACAAAATTATTATTATTTAAGTAAATCGCTCAGAGCTTTTTAAAATGGGTCATTTGCTGAGCATGCGCAATCATTTCTTGCCATATTGTCGCTAAAAACGGTGGATACACAAACGTTATTCATAATATGCATATTATGCAAATTTGCCCTGTAAACTTCCAACTAAACTAATTTAAAATAACTTAACTTGGATACATTTTTTAATATTTTACTACTACATAGTTTTTAGCTGCAAAATGTATTGGAAAGTACGTAAATTTGCTGATTTAAAACTATGTTTTAAAAAATTATCTGGATTTGTTTTGTTCGATAGGCGGAATAATTAGGCGGGATCCAATTTGCTTCCCATACGTCATTATCCGAATATCGTCGGCAAATTACGAAGGAGTGTTTTCTTCAGTCAGGTGGCTTCGCATGTCTAATGCATTAGAGAGGTTAAGATCGCGGAGCCGCTAACCGCTAACATGTAGCTACAAGTTATAAGTTACACGTATATTTATCTTATAATGAACAGGGGAATCGGGGAATGTGGCTCAATAATTAGAAACTGAATTGAACTGTTTTTAAAGGGTATTGGCAATGAAAATCCTGCTTTTAAATAAAGGAATAGCCTTCTTTCAAATAAAGTAAACTAAATTATCATTGCCAATACCTTTAAAAAACAAAGATGTTTAATTCGGTTCAAATTATCAGCCCTATTACCCGATTCGAAATATTCCGAAAACTCACGGCTATCTTTAAAAGGGGGATGGGGCATCTCGGGGAATAACGTATACACTCTGACATACACCTTGTCAAACATTTAAAAGTGTGGTCCTTTTTGTTCATGCCCATTTTCATGTGGCATTTCAACAAGGCCCCGCGATAAATTTATTATAAAAGTAATGACAATACAAAAATGATATGGTTTTTATTGACTTTCTTTACTGCAAGATAGCAAGAATTCTTGATTACAATAATTAGCTTAGCTTGTGAAATGACACTTCTATTTTCTCACTAAAGTCGGTATTGGACCGGTTATGAAATGCTTTATAAAGTATAATAGATAATGCACTGACTGATAATTATAAGATGATAATGCTTGACAAATGCTGTCAGAACTAAATATTATTTGGCAGTTTAGCGCTGTTCAGTAGTAGGTCGTGACAAATTAATATGTGATGTTATTGACATTTTAATAAAGGGATTGCTTTTGAACTTCGAGAGTTTGAACTTCGACTGCTATCCAAATAGACTAATAATATTACTCTTTTTAAACACGCCATTCTAGTTTTATCATTACTGTAATTGATAAACATTTTGCAGAGTGTATGTTACATCCGGTAGTCCGTATTTTCGGTGAGGGAAAAGGTCACATGTGCTCGTGGTGATCAGAATTAAAAGTTAGAGAGCTGTACTTATTTAAGAGCATTTAAAATTCATTAAAATTGCTTGAAATACTACATTTGGCGACGAGATAATGGCAACGCATGGGAAACTCGAAGAATACAAGTTATTGCACATCGCTTTAATATTTCCACAAGTCTATAGAATATTTAAAAACATGGATTGTATTCTTATAACAACACCTTCTTTCTTTACCAATTTGGCCCAGTCGGGATTTTGTTGATGATAACATGCCTGGCTGTTTTAAACTAACATATCCTAAAACTAGAGTGATAATTGACTGCACTGAAATTTTCATTGAAATCACTGATGCCATTGATTGAAATCACAAATGCCATCATAATGCAGAAGTCAGTCCATTACATTTTCAAGCTACAAGAACCACAACACTGCAAAGGGAGGGCCTAATGGGAATATCACCAAATGGATACCCAAGTTTCATCTCTAGTTGACACCGCAGAAATTGGTGTTTAAGACGTTTCAACCCGAAAATCTAATCGCTGGTTCACAATTGTGCATTTCTGTATCGCCCTATCAAAGAGAAACCTTTTGAATATCTTAAAAAAGTTCAATTTTTCTTCTGAATACGCATTCTGCAATCTTTTGACAGCTCATCATACACATCTGACCGCTGTGAAATGGCCATTTTGAGGCTTAAAGTATACACAAGGTTATTAATTCAGACGATTCGTTTTTACCGTGAGCAAGCTTCAAATCTTTTGTGCAAGACATATTTTCTTGAATATTTATAAATCTTTTTCCTCACCAAGTTTGAAGTCTAAGTATCGAGAATTGCGGCTAAGCCTATACCAATTTCCGCGGTGTCTCTCTAGTTTGTATGCAGGCCAAACTAGTGATAAGAAAATTACTCATGACTGTGGTATTTTGAAGCTTCTTGAACCTGGAGATGAATTGATGGCAGACAGAGGATTCGACATTGAGGCTGACATGCCAAATGGTGTGTCTTAAAACATTACACCTTTTTTAAATGGACAGCCTCAGCTATCAGTTGAGGATGAAGCAAAAACACGAAAAATTGCTTCAGTTCGTGTACATGTTGAACATGCAATCGCAAGAATAAAACGTTGTAGAATTTTGCATCAAGTAGTTTCCCTGACATTGGCTGAGAACTTAGAGCACATTTGGAGTGTATGATCATATTTAACTCTATTTTTACCACTTCTCATTAAGGAAAAACAAGATAAGTTTGTTCATTCACAAGTGACTTTTAGTTAAATATAAACATAATTGTACCTTGATAACTTAATTGTATTGTTTATTCTGTATTACAGTTCTGGCAACATGCATTCAGAGTAAAAACTACTTCTCTCTGGAACAACTTTTGCCAGAAGTCATTATCAAAGTAGATCCTTGCAATATGCAAGTCTACATTTGTGAAAACAACAAAATCACACCAGCTAACATTAAGTGTAGCCATGCACCATTGAATTTGAAAAGTTCATTTCTCTTTGCAGACTTTTCCATTCAATTTTGCCAAAAAGAAGTTTTTTCATTGCAAGCTTCATCAATGCTTAAGTTCTATTTTGAGAATGGGAATTGACTTCTCCAATGCCAAATGATGTTGGTTCTGTGCTGTCGAACACTAATAAATCTGGGCTCGCACCTAACCATGGAAAATTCAAATTTACAGCAAACACACAACTTGCACACACATCAACATTTTTGCTTCAATTTTTTTAAATTTATAGTAAGAGGACTGCTAGCTTTCACTTGCAAATATTCACCAACAGTGATTTGGGGAACCTTTGCTTTCTGTGCTTTACTATTGCTCCAAAAATTGAAGATGTAAGCCTTTTTTTGTCATTCATCAAGCAAAACATCACCGAGGACTGCTTCCTAGTGTTCTTTTTATCACAAACACTATAGTTATTTATATTGAGGTGCATTGATTCAGAGTATCGCTTCTTTGGTGGCATACCTATAGGTGCAATGCATCAAAAGGGCATGGCTGACAGTCACTTGACTTTAGCAATTTGCCCAAATAACTATTTTCGAGCAATATAACACAAGAATAAAAGTAAAATACTCCTGAGATCCAAAGAGAAACACAATCAGTGAAGCTTATTTTGTAAAAATAATGAGCTGATCGCAAGTTTAAAAGCGGACTCACCTGTTTCAGTACACGTTAGTCAATTTTTCGCAAGCAAATTTGAGCGAAGATTGTTCACATCTTGGCATCTTCTCGACGGATTTTTATCGCCATTAACGCCAAGATCGTCATGAAATTTCGTCGTTTTGTAGTGACGAACCTTCTCGAAATTTTCCGAAGAAAACAAACGTCGATGGACACGAAATGATGTTAAAAACCCGCCGATTCTTCTCTCGCAAGAAATTCACCGCACATTTACAGCAGCCATTTCGTTCGAAAGCAACTTTGCAACAGTGAACTCTAATGCATACGTGATGTAACTTGATGTATTAGAGTTCACTGCTTTGCAATTTGCATCCTCCTACCATCATGCTTAGCCCGCCTAGTGGTCTCCACCTTAAAATCTTATTTAAAAAATCATATCTATGCTTAAACATGGCTTAAATCAACCAACGAATTTACGTCTTTTCCAATACATTTTGCAGCTAAAAGCTACGTAGAACCTTGAAAATATATCCAAGCTCATTTATATTTGGTTACTTTGCAGTTTTTTTAAGGTAATCTTTTAGTTTCAAGCCAGGGAACAGGGAACAGCGTCTTCGAACAGCTTCGCTTTAAAATGTGGTATATAAACTGCCTATTAAAAATGGACAAAAACACTTCTCGACGTTTTGACGTAGGGGGCTTCGTCTGGGAGCATCTTATAGCGGTTTTGACGGTCTTAACGACGTCAGTTGACCTGTTTGAAGTGCAGTGACAGCAGTGTTAAAATCTCAATAGAATAATCCCTGCCGAGTAGCACAGCTCACAGGCATACACAAACTTTATCTATCAAACACATGAGCTTGTAAGAATGTAGTTTCACACAAATAAATGTCAATACCTTCTGCGTCGTAGAGAATTTATTCAAATCACTGAAATTACGCCAGCACTTGATGGATGAAAGATAAATCGACTCGACGGACTGCAAAACGGACTGGACAAATAAAACTCGATCTCAGTAAAGGCGGATTTCCACTTACAGCGAAATCGTTCGCTAGCGAAATATTTGCATATTTTCTTTTGAATTAAGGACAGTCAAGTCGAACCAATTTATTTATACTGTTAAAATTCAAAAGAAAATATGCAAATATTTCGCTAGCGAACGTACGATTCGCTGTAAGTGGAAATCCGCCTTAAATGTGATATTACATCAGCCAACACGTGTCCGTAACTAATACTAACTATTACATCAGCCAAAACTTAACCACAAAAAACCCATAAGCAGTCCAACTGCCCAATGGAGAATGCTTTTATTTGAAGTAAAAGTGCAAACTTGACGAAATTGACACGGCATATCATTTATTTACAAGCTAATGTACGGCTAAACCTGTTACTTTAGGGTGACCAGACTTGGGTGTTCGACTATAATGTTCAGGATTTAGGTACATTAGCATGTAAATAAATGTTTCAATTTTTACTTCTGTCCCTAAAATCTAAACATTTTGAGGTCAGTTCAGGGAACACTCCAGGAGCAGAATCTGACTGCAACCTGAAGTACTGTTTTGGCAAAGCTTACCTGCAGATTACAAAATTTGGTAACAATTTCTCACATGTTACTTAGTCTCATATGTCACAGTCAGCAAACTATTGTTATGTTAGATAGCAAATCATGCATTTTGGTTGCCAGTCATCACCAATCAACAATAATAACCTTTGTGTGAGGCCAGCTTTTGCCATTCATAGGATTTACCAAGGCTAGAGAGCGAAAGCATCCCTGTAAGACCTAACCCTTAAAATCTGTGACATTTTGCAGTTGTTTTGGGACTTTTTTGTGACTGCTTTGCTAATCTGTTTAAATACCGGGCTATGAAACAGTTATTTCTCATAAATAAGTGAGTAGAGTATTAAGAAAACTTTTGTAATATAATATCTCAAATCAATACCCAAACAGCCATCTTCAATTACAGTCACAAATAATTTTGTGTGTACATGCAGTGAACCTTCACAAAAATATTTACAACACACAATTATTAACTTAATGATGTCGTGGTGATTCTTGTAGATTTTGAAGTCCAAGGTCAGTCCATTTTTCATCTTGTTCTTTCAAGGTTTCAGAGAAATTAACAGTATCGGTGTCGTCACTTGGTGGTAGCTCTCTCTCAGGAATAAGAATGTCATTGTTGGGTAATTGATCTTTGCGCCACTGCTCATCAACCACGTCAATAATACAAGTTTCTCTGGTACCATAAGACAATTCACTGTCCTTCGACATATTCACTTCTATAGATTGCAGCCTTGCAGGCCTGTTCAGTCCAGTTCTTGAAAAAAGTTTCAACAAAAAATGATCAATTCCCTTCTGAATATCATAAAATTATGAAAAGTTTTACTCCCATCACCAAAATTATGCCTTTGATTATGTGATAATGTTGAGCTGTATAGAGTTTACTGGTCCATTCCCACTAGACTCCAGTTATATTTCATAAACAGGTCATCGTCGTGAGCCCACGTTCCACCCCGCTTACCACAACAAATATTTCCAAATTTCAAATTGAACCAAAGGTCGAAATTCTTGAAATATCAAGACTTTTTTGGTTTCGTGTTAATCGCGATCCTTTGGGCTGATACGATGATCATACTCTATTGTAAGGAATGTTTCAGACATGATTGACGCGAGAGATGGCTTCGTCTTCTTTAACAACTTTGGTTCAAACAAAATCGATCGAACGTGTGCTTGCCCCTATTGCAAGTCAAGTGAGTGTTTAATATAATAATCGCCCAGGAATGTCTGCATTTTACCCTTTTTATAACTTCGCTGTTCGTGTTTTAAATAAAATATTTGGGGTACACCGTTCATCGGAGTTTGGCATTTGGGCTTTGGTACTTGTTTTGTAGCACTGCATTTTTTAAATTGTACAGTGCGTCCACCGTGGGCGTGGAATCGTGGATGGAACTTTGAAAATTCCAGGCTAGGGAGCAATATGGCATGTTTACATGATATGGGAAAAAGTTGGACCAGAATGAAAATTAAAATTTTCAAAACATTTGTATAAAACAAACACATACCATAACATATCCCCACAGACGCTGATGAACTGCTGGCTGTTCCTATATCTATGCAGCCCAGTGAACAAATGTGTGCAACTCTGCATGTTTTGTTTAGCATTTCGAATTAGTCTGAAATATGCTTTGTATTTACATTAATCCAGATTCAATACATCTCCATCTCTAAACCCAGTCAGTTCAGCAAGTAGTTATGCCTTAAATAAGACTGATATATGGTTAACGTTTTTATCCTGTTTTCATATGAAAGTATTATTATTATATATACATTATAGTAAGACCAAGACAGCCTGGTATCAGCTTGTTTTCATCTCCATAAAAATGGCCTAAGCCACGAAAGGCAAAGCAGTCAACGCCATTGCCTGGCTTTAAAGCTGACAAACAATATGTGCGATATATTGGCATGCAAAAGCTCACAGACTTTAATTGTTTTCACTCAAGTGACCCAGCCTTTTAGACCTAAAAATCATATGTATGCAAAGTCACATAGACATGAAAAACCACATGTTTATATATTTATTCATATACCCAAATATCTACCCTATGTCAAATACCAGAAATGACCACTTAATTACTTAATTCATTTATAAGTGAAAGAAATTGTAATCATCAGTAAAGATTTTTGTTTCTTGTGGTACCCTAGTTTTTACATGAGAGGTATGTATAACAATTGTACTTATTTAAATGATAATTAAATGATAATTTAATTCCTAGGTGTCCAATTTGATCATACTAAATGAAGCTGGTGTCCAGGACCAACATGCCTTTCCTGACCTTGTTTCATCTGCTGAACATATTTTTCAAACTGTTCAAACACTGACCAACATTGGATATAATCTTGCTCATGAGAGCTCTGATGAGGTGAGGTTTGCCTCTTGAATTAATATTAGAATTTGAAATATATAAGGTTTGTTCAATTTTCCCATATTTTTGTCCTCAATGCAAAAATAAACACATATATTGCAAGAAACAATGTTACTGCATAGTTTTTAGTTTTCCAATGAGCAACTTGCTCTACTGAGCTTTATTATATTACCAAATGACCAGATCTGAGATTTAATAGGACAACCACTACTTGGCTTTGCTGTATTAGTTAATGGCACACACACGCCTAAATTACTGATCGAATGACCTACATAGGTAAAATATTACGTTTTGTCTGTTCACAAGCTTGCAACAAGATTTGTTTACACTACTTGCATGTCCCCAGACACAGCCTAGTCGCAGGCCTTGTAAGCGTGCACTATTAATTACGCAGGGGAAGCCCATGCTGAGAGGCACAAAATGTTGAGATTTCAAAAAGTGTCCCTGATTTCGTCCCTGATGCAAATATTTTGAGATCAGTATTGCTTGAGAAAAGGACTAGGAGGACTAGGGAGGACTATATATAGGGACTAGTCTGCCCCAGACAACTTGAATCAAAAGACTGGTTACAAGGCTGTTCCAACAAGTCTGATACAAACATGATTTAACAATATTGCTACAAACTAAGTGCTGCCAAATTTGTAGCAAGGTTGTTATATCACAACTTGTCATAAGGATTTTAGTCACCAATACTCACGAATACAAGTCTAAGCTGAATAATTGTTTTAGTATAAATACAAAGGTGATTTTTGAAAAAACAAATCTGTTACAGAAAATGCATGTTTTACAAACCTGAAGAAATATCTCAACACTTTTGACTGCAATTCAAACTCGCCGCCTTTTTGAAACATCCGTTTAGGTGATTATCCGATAATAACTGGAGGTTGATCGACCTATCAGATGCCGGATTTCAATAATCACCTTTGTAATTTTAGTTTTTGTTTCCTATTTTTTTTGACCGCATACATAACATGTGTTCTGACTGTTCTCCCCTATTCACTTTCATACTACTTTAACTCTCCTGATGAAGGCCTTTTGGTCGAAACATTGAAAAGTGCTGCATGCTAGCAAGTGCTTGCAAGCTACTGCATGGCTACTGAATAACCTTCATCACTGGGCTTACTACAGAGTAAATGAATGAAACTTCCTAATAGATGACCTACACCACTGAGCTTTGTTTTACTGAATGAACTATAACACTGAGCTTTGTGTTACCGAATGAACTATACCACTGAGCTTTGTTTTACTGAATGAACTATACCACAGAGCTTTGTGTTACTGAATGAACTATTCTACTGAGGCTGAGCTTTGCCAAATTACTTGATGACCTACCCCACTGAGCTTTCTTATGTTACTGAACTGAAGTGAATGACCTGCACGACTGAGCTATACTGTATCACTGGATGACTTGCTTTACTGAGCTTTGCTATATTACTGGAGACCTGGTCATATGTTAAATTTCATGATGACCTTGTTCTCTGAAATTTGTTTCTTTTTATACCAGCATGTTTTAATTATAATAATATACGAGTAATTCTAATATATTTTTTCAGCAATTGAGTTTGGATATGCCTGGTGCTTGCACACAAGTTCTTGAAGCAGGAAACAGCCTATTAACAGCAGCACAACAATTACGCGTTGACCCTCACAATCGCTCCGTGAGATTAATTTTGGTGGAATCCGCAAAAAAGGTTCTTGAATACACCGTAAATGTAAGTGAACAACTAATCAATAGAGAAGTTAAGATACCCAGTTCCGATCTACGGGGATTTGTTGCCTTATTTTGTTCAATAAATTCCTTCTTGTTTACATGCATGTTTTTTGAAATCTTGCTTGCCTGAAAAGGCAAATGCCGGAAAAG